TAAAAATTTACAATGAATATTTATCATTTCCTCTTCTGTTAGTAAAGATAAAAAAGGGAGGCAATATATGTTCACCAACCATGTGTTTGTCTTGGTAATAGTATATGTCCCAAGTGTGTCCTAAGTTAGATTGTTGTCATGTTCACTTCCAAAAAAGTAGGTATGCAGAAGTATGCATAAGTTCGACTTAGTATTCCAAAGACTGAAAAACTAGTCTATCTATTTAAACAACGTTTTAATGTCAGATATTAACCTGTTTTGTGGTACCATTTTGTTGTGTATCCATTATCACTTTCCTATGCATATATTGGTATCAATTTACAAAAAAGTAGATGTTAGATTAAACATACGATTGGACGTGTAGAGTACATATTTCAGGGGTGGCTTTGTAATTAAGATTCATCCAATTTCTCCTTTTTTTTATATATACAAACGAATTAATTGATAAATATGGGCACGAGACGTTTGCGCTTTTTTACCTGTAACTCTAAAGGGCATTTGCGCTCCAAACACTAAAGACGGTTTATTCTGACTATTCCTACATTTTGAATTGTATAGGTAAAATAGTAAAATTTTATGTTGCCATGGAGTTCCCAGAATTTTTATGTAAACAATAAGATTATGTAGGATTATGTTGTAACAACACTAAACTAATGAACCAAGGTAAATCCAGGTAAATCTTGAGGAAAATAAAGAAAAAGAATAGTTTCTATTACAATATTTTATTTAATAATTTCATAGCACATTTTGTGTAAATAATATTCAAAAGCACAAAATGAATTTATAGGCACAATGTTATTCAAAAGCAATTGAAATTATTTAGGTCAAAACATTAATATATACAAGTAAATAATATCAATTGAAATATAAAAAATTATAATATTAAAATTGTAGTAATTATTCTTTGAAACAAAGTACTTAATTTTGAGTAACACTACATATTCATTGAAACAAAGCACCAAAAAGTACATTAAATTGACATTAAAACAGAGCACTAACACAGTAATGCATTTCAGTAAAGTAAACACAGAAGAGAATTCAAAGTCTTAATTAATGTGCAGGAGATGAGAAGCAACATCTCCATACTGGACTGGCGTAAGTTCATCATTCTGTAACGTTGTTTTCAGTGTTTGAATATAAAAATAAGAAGATGTGGTATGATTGCAAATAAGACAACTCTCCGCAAGAGACCAAATGACACAAAAAAAAATAACAATTATAGGTTACCTTACGGCCTTCAACAATGAACAAAGCCCATTCCGCATAGTCAGCTTTAAAAGGCCCCGAAATGACAAATTTAAAACAATTCAAACGAGAAAACTAACAGCCTAATTTATGTACAAAATAATGAACGAAACAAAATTATGTAACACAGCAACAAACGACAACCACTGAATTACAACTAAGAAAAAATTCATGCATCTAAGACTAAAATATCAATCAGTCCTCATCCAACATCAAATGAATTTAGATTAAAGACGTCATAAAGTCTGTCATCTATTTCTCTGTATTTTCTCTTTCTTGGATCACGTTTCCTGTATTGGATATGTGTGAGAGCATGGAAGGCTTCTTCTTGTCTCAACAATTTTATCATGCTGAAGATGTTTTGGTGAGGTGCACTGACTAACTTTTTCAGTTTACTATGCCAACCTTCTAAATGATTTGTTATTCAAATGATGAAATTAATTAAATCTTTGAAGCTAAAGTTGAAAGTGTAGGTTACTATTAAATGCTTTAACTAACTTTTCTTTTAAATAGTTTTGTTCCAGACTTTTAAATGCTGTTACTACTTTTTCTTTTAAATAATTTTATTTTCCAGACTATTAAATGCTTTTACTACCTTTTCTTTTAAAAAAAATATTTTCAAGAAATTCCATATTAGAAAAACTTAATTATAACACTTGTTTAAAAAAAAAAAAAAAGACAACCATTTTTTTACATAAATTTCATATGAACAATTATTTTTATTTAATTTCCACATGTAAAGTTATCTGTGACCTAATTAGGCACTAATGACTAAAACAACATATTATGCAATAACAACATCTATTGTTCTTCCCATAATCTCCCATGTAGAAGTAGCCAAAATAGTAAAATACAAAATGTAGGAATAGCCAGAAGACACCCTATAGACATGTGCGCTTCAAAATTTGATACACCTGTTTTTAACTGACAGGGCATTTGCGCTTTTACATATAAAATCTTAATGAGTTGTAATCATTACGCAAATTAATATCTTATATTTGTACTATTCATATAATATTTACTTTTCAAAAACAATTAATTTGTCATCAAGTAAGTGTTGGTACATGTAAACATGACTTAACGAGTTCATGCAAGGTCTAATGTCAGGGTTTCGGTTTGCGGTTTTAATATTAATAATGCATTAAAATCTAATTATATTAGAGAGTGTTGTTGGGGTCTACAGAAAAATGGGCTTTAAAATAAAGAAAAGAGAAAAATAGGGAAACATATAAAGATTAGAGAATAATTGGGTGCTAAAATATAAAGAATAGAAAACAATGGACAAAGAGTATAAAGAATAGAATAGAAAACAATGACATAAAGAATACAGAACTGAAGGACACCCATTCAGACCCCCCTATAAGCCAAGTATTTTAAACAGAAGCCTACGTTGTTGTTTAAATGTCCTTCCCCGCCTTATGATGTATGTGCAATGTTTTTTTTGTGTTTACTAAGACAATGAATCGAAAGTTGTTCTAATGCTGACCGTTTGAAAAACAAATTGATGTTCGAAGGAACTTGCCAGCATATATAGACAATAGTTTGTGTATCTACCTTATACAGCATGGGTGTTAATTACGGAAAGAAGTTTGTAAAGTTAGAACCCGTTAACGTTCGTGCATGTGTATGTCACGGTGTTCTAGCTAGCTCAAAATAGTTCTGTCCTAGCCATATTTGATTTTCTGAAAGAAAAACAATACTTTGAATGCGACAAAATCATTTTAAACTACTGGAAAAAGCTTTGAAAAACCAACAAATACCATAAATCAAGCAAAAATACATTAATTGATTCAATGTGTTATCTGTAAGGATTATCAAGTCGTCGATTTTCAGACCGTGCAAATGTGCTCCTTTACCAATTATTCTTTACCAGAACACTGATTCGTGTATACCTTAGTAAAGTAAGTCACTGGAAGCTCGTCAAACATTGAAATAAACATAGTTTTAGAGCTTAAAATATTGGAAGCATCTGAGCACCGCTAGATTGTCGTTGCTTTTGACTATAATACAAGTGAATGAACAGTCGGAATAGGCCTGGCTGTTCGTAGGCCATACTGTGTTAGACTAAAAGTGTTTTTCCCGTCTAACTACAGACTTTGCTTTATTGAATAAATCTAAATTAATCGTTGTTATTCATTTTTTTCCTGAATCTCCTATTCAATTAAGAAGCAAAATATATCTTTGTCAAAATTATAAGAATGTTGCTCCATGAAATGCTTAGCTTCTGCGGACTTTGTTAAAATTTCAAAATTTCATAATTACAGTATAGAACAACTAATTCGGGCCCGGTTAGAAAGAAAGAAGTACATATTTTAAACAAAATAGCTCCTACGCATAGCTATAACTTTGTCAATAAGTAAAATATCTAGAAACAATTTGGTATCAAATGAAAGCATAAGGACATTGGATCACTGTAGAACCCTTGTTGGTTGTTTATTTCGAATAATAAAAAAAAATATATGAAATTATGATAGGAGGGCACATTTGCCCTGTTGTTCAGATCAAAAGTACCTACTTTTGTACTACCAAACTTCCGGGAACCAGTGTGCTCTAATATGTAATTAGGGGTAATATATGTTGAATTTTATAGTACGAGTCAGGATAAGGTATAATTTAGTAGTGACATGAAATGACTGCCACTTTATTTGAACTTAAGACAAAGTAGTCATTAATGCTTGAAAAAGCAATGGGGCTATGAATTAGTGATTTTATTCCTTATGCATGGACAATAAATTAGGATCAGAGTTAAAGTACTATCTTTCTTTTACAAGGCGCCAAATTGTGGATTTGGCGTGAATTATGTGGATTTCGTTAAGTTCTTGTCTTGGTTTTTGATAAGGTCTAGGTTTTATACTTCAAGTCAAACGTAGAGCAAGCTAAAGGGTGAAAGTTTTGTTGTTAAAACTTATAAATGGGCAACATCGGTGTATCAAATAATCCAATCCTTAGATCAATAATGAAGACGAAAGATAAGGTGATTACGTCTGTTTATCCTGGTCTCCCAACTAGATGTAAATCATTGAGACATTCATAGAGCGAACGGATATAAAAGCAAAGAAGAGTGATACCAGTTTCCATGCGCACGACACTAGTCTTGTTCATTTTATTACCTTCATTCCCAATGCTCAAAATTAAAGGTTTGGAAAACCATCGTGCTGATGGTATCCCCGGGAACTAATAGTTTACCAGCAGTACGAACAATCCAGTGGTATGAGGGTCTGGAAGGGGTTTACAGAATAATGGACAAAACGTGCAGAATAAAGAGCAAAATAAAATAAATAATAGGGAAAAATAAGCACAAAAATAAAGAAAACAAAATAATTGATTGCTGAAATATTAATAATGGAGAATAGGGCCAAAAATAAACAAACAATAAACAAAAATTGTTTAAAAAGTTAAAGAGTAAAGAAATGAAGGACCCCCTACCAGACCCTCTGGTATTAATAATGATATAGATTTTAAGGAGCTCAAAACTCATTCATAAAATAAAATGTCGTAATAAAGACATGTGCAATAATATTTTCCGTGAATGGAAATAACCAATTAAGGAGAAATGAAATTAATATATTTTTAAGGGCTTGTGTAGTGTACTTGTTCTGCAATTTCGGGGTCCAAATAATGGTTCTTATCATACCTTCTCCTTTCTATTTTCAAGCATTTATGATCTGTTCTGTTAAACTTGCTTTCATTTCTTTCAAAGCATAGATAAGTGAAATAAATTGACTGATGTCAAGTTCCAATATCTAAAACATGACTATGAAAAATACTTTTATTAAAATTTTAGTAAAAAATAGACGTGACAAAATACATTGAACACTTTAAACAAATTTAATTTGATTTCTTATCAACTGGAGTCTGCATGTACTACATGAAATGCATTTCAATTATTGATGTCAACTTTGAATTCTTTGTCTTTTCCTTAATATATGCATGAATTCTTTGTATACAGTCTACATTTAATTATAAAAATATATATTTTTTTGCATTTCCCACATCATCTTAGCACTAAATATGCACAGTCATCATGTTGTGATAAACCTTTGGTGTAACTACTATGACATTTCAAAACATAAACAAAACAATGCTTTACATGCTTTAATCTAGTAATGAAAAGTAAAAAGCACTTTAGAGTAAAAAAAAGGTAAAATGGAAGAGTCAATAATACAGTATCACAGTCAGGCTTCTCAATGGTTTTCTCTAGATCTTATCTCTTTTTTGATTAAAAGCAACAACTAATGATAAATGTCACATATATTATGCTTATTTAGTTAAATGAAAAATATCATTGAACATATTCAATATCAATAGATGTAATTAGTCTCTGGATTTCATTGTATAAGATTTTGTTATATATAAATTTCCTATCTAGTGACCACATGTAAAACCACTGGTCAACATACTTATAAAAATTAAAAACAGAGATAAATTTGGGATGATTGCATTGTTTGTATCGTCATGTGAGTGCTTACAGACAACGTTTATAGATTGAACAGTGTGTGGAGATGGTGCTTGGGTAGAAGACTTCTCAGTAAGAAAACTTGAATAAACGTTTCTTCCATTCAGCTGTTGAATGGGCCTAAAATCATCAACCAGCTTTTCTTCGTGAGTATCGTTTACCGTTGTCTTCTTTATTTTATTTCTAAACTCATCCATCTAAAATTAGAACAAAAACATTCCTGAATGAAATTATACTCAAATTCTAATACAATTGTTGGTATATACATAATGTACTTGCATTGGCTACTGTTCGTCGTCAAATTAATGGAAGCAGTACTAGTTCTGACAGTTCCTGTCGTCAAAAGAGGCATTATCACACCTACTCCTTTCTATATTTTTTCATTAAACACTTAAAAGGGGATCAATTATTCTCTATTCTGCTATTTCACAATACAACTTGGAACAAACACGGGTTTATTAGCAGTAATTTTCTTCATATTCAGTTTATTTATCTCTTCTTAAATTGGACATCACAATATAATTTTATTCAATCATAATTGTATGATTTTGGTTAATTTGTTTGTATTTTTTTAATAATACAATTTATTTAGCAACTGAACATGTAGTTCCAGGAATGTGTTCCAATTCCTCAAAATCTTGCTAACTTCAAGTGTGGCTGGTCGTTGGTTCGACCCTCGGCTGCGTCAAACAAAAACATGGTATTTTTTGTTTTTACACTAACCATGCAGCATTTAGGAGTAAGAGCAAAAACTGGTCAGAGTAAGAACATGCCTTACTGTCGACTTTTACCATGTGAATTAGCACATTGAGTATCTGGTTCAGTATGTCTGTCTAGTACAAAGTAATGATTATTTTCATATCACAATATCTTGATCTTGTCCTGAATATGCGTGTAATATTTGACACTGGACGTAAAACAAACGAATTCATTACCATCACTAATGTTTGTAGTTTACATTTAATTTTTCTTAGCCATTTGGATTCAAATTCCTTAAGTTAAAACGTGTTTTAATATAAATTTTACTATTATATAATAAAACAATACAATGATAGATGTAGTACCTGCTCATTAGAAATTGTTATTGGTTGTGTAAAAACAGTCCAAACAACACTCTCATAACATGGAGGTGTAGTGAGACTTCCTCTGTATCTATAATAGTGTATTAAATCTATGGGTACCAGTCGCTCCATCACTACTGGCGGGATTTCGGCAGTGTCATCTACAAAATATAGCATGAGGAATCAAAACTCAATGTTATATTCCCATGAAAATATGACAGTGGGATTTACATTACTATGTATTTTCGATTATTCAGTAAATTAGCTACAAATAGAACCTTGGAGGGGGGTCTTTATTTGTTTAAGAAAAATATATGTAGTATTTTTTTTATCATGAAACAAATGTACCGACATGGTTTAAATAATAAGAAAAAGCCTTATTGCTGCAATAAAAGATAAAATCGTGTTTAATTATGCATCATGTATGTATATTTGAAACAGTATTATATACATGTACAGGTAAATTAGACGTTCTACTTTTTCCTTTGACTAATCGAAGGTGTTGTTGAAAACACATATTAGTTGACGTGTGACGTCACAGAGTCAAGTTAAGCTGCAGTGTTGCAATTCAGTTGTTCTTCTTGATTATGTTTTCGGAGCTTTGGGCGACACCGATGTGAATATAAATGCTGATTATCATGACAACTAAAATGTCATATAAAGGACGTTGGAGATGCATTGTATATATATATCACAACAATGTATTTGTCTTTAGAAATTCTCACAAAGTCAAAATAAATAGAGTTTAAAAAATGCCGTATCTTTAGCTCATCAAGCGTTTAAAAAAAAAAGCATACAAGAGACATATCTTTCGCTACAATAAGTTATTGAATATTCACAATGCCCGAAGACAGAAATGTACAAAATTATCACGCTTTCCGCGCGAACGAACAGTTAGATTTCATCTATACATGCACCTTAGATTATATTTTGTTTTGCCTCTAGCATCACACGCAATTGTTCAGACGTTTTTTAAGTTCGTTATAGTTCGTCTCCCACATTTTGTCAGTGGGTCGTACAAAAGAACAAGTGCTTTTATCTTAAAATCTTATATTTGAAATAGATGAACAAATTCAACTCAGTACTTGTATCTATTTTCAATTGGGAAGGAGCCACTGCCAGTGTAGTATTTTCCTTTAATTTGTTTTTATATTTACTAGTTATCAATTTCAAAAAAATGACTTAGGCAGCTGTAAAACACATCGATCTCAAATGGGTTTTCTAATTACCTTTATGTGCAACGTTTTCAAGGTAGTTAAATACTTCTGCAAAGTGTATGTTATGTGGTCCAATCTGAAATTGTAAAAAGAGTATGTCAAGTAAGAAATAACACAAATAATTCATGCGCAAAGCCTTCAATGCCATGCAACAAAGAGGGTCAATTCAGCGGAGACAGGGTTTGTGGGACTTGAAGAAAACATTGAAGAATACGTGTGAATTGTAAAACATATGTTAATCCGTTATAATTATCAATTTAATGTGATACTTTATGAGACAAATATTTACGAATTGAAAAAAAACAAAACAAAAACAAAACAAAACTACATTACCGCCATTTGAATTTGTAGTGACATTGATTATATAAACTTAAGGTGAAAAAAAAACACCATAAAGAAGTATCAAACAAATTGAGTAAATGCGCTTTTCAAATATTTTTGCATTTGATTCCATTTTGCTTATGAGTACGTACGTATTAACAAGACTTAGTTTTCTTTTGAAAATGAGTTGTTATGTATAACGTTGTTGCCTTAGTTGGCCAATACGATGTGTTTGCGTCTCAACAAATGAGAGACATGTTTTCATGGTCGAAGATGTTTTAAGACTCAATAAGATCCGTCTAATCTGAAAATTTACAGATTGTGTACGATTCTTTATTTTATTGTCTATTGTGCTCTGTTTTTTAAACCCCACCTCGAGCCTCACATTAGCAGTACCACTAAATATTGAAAAAACCATGGTTAATACTCATATTCATTTCAAACTTGCCAAGATTTACCTGAAACCATGGTTAATACTCATATTCATTTCAAACTTGCCAAGATTTACCTGAAAGAAAAATCCCAAGACCAAAAGACCATCTGGTTTATCAATAGCATCTTCGATCTTCTGGAACCTATCCGAGTAATGGACTATATGCATCTGAAATATTGTTAATTTCATAAAAGTTATATTTTGTTACAAGTACAGTTATTATGGCAGATACTATACACAAATTAATATCATTATATAATGTAAATTTTAAAGTGTAGAAAAAAAATGTAAATTAATACGCAAAATTTGTTGCACTTCAAGCATTTTCCTGGATAAATATTCATTCAAACTTCAAAGTATGGTCAAATATAAAGTGACTGCCGAGCAAATCTGAAAATCAGTAGTACAAAACAAAGTTATAGGCCTGATAAAGTATCAATGATTAATTTTCCTAAATAACAAATCTGAGAATTCTGTAAGGTTCGTCAAACAGGAAGTTATTGCAGATTATAACAAAATATTGACTGCTGTACCCCCATTTTTGACAGGTTTACCTATTATGTCTGTTTGTTTTGTTCACACATTGTTTTCAATATAATGGAATTGTACGCGACTGTCTTACAAGTGAGACGTTTAACTAGCTATAAAACAAGGTTTAATCCACCATTTTCTACATGAGGAAATGCCTGTACCAAGTCAGGAATATGACAGTTGTTTTCCATTCGTTTGATGTGTTTGAGCTTTTAATTTTACCATTTGGGACTTTTCGATTTGAATTTTCCTTGGAGTTCGGTATTTTTGTTATTTTACTTTTTGCCATGCAGATCTGAAACTCAACATTATAAAACAAAGACGAAAGATACCAAGGGGACGTTCAAACTCATAATTTGAAAACAAACTGACAATGCTATGGCAAAAAAACGTAAACACGACAAAAAGACAAAAGTCTACAACACACAACGTATAAATTTAAGACTAAACAACACGGACCTTGACAAAACCATGGGGTATCTCGGCTGATATCGCAGGATAAATGAAGGAGTTGAACTTTAGTATTGCATTTTTTTCTTGCATGGTGTTGTGGGTTTGCCTATTGTGTTTCAATTTAGTCTTATTTTCTAAACTGCACTTTGAAGCAGTATATGAAATTATAATATAAAGCACCGACCTCCATCGGGTAATGGTGGTTGTCAATAACATGTTCAGAGCCTTTGGTATTGTCTGCTCCCCAATGGAAATGAAATTGTACAGGCTTGTATCCACCAGTCACTCCACCTCCATGTGTTCTCAATGACGTATCCACAATGTCTACTTGAACTAAAACAACAGACATTTATTATGTGAAATTGTACAAATAGGTACAGCATACATGTATTCCAGAAATGTAAGCGTATTTTTTTTTTTTGGTTCTTTTGGGTGTGGGGAAGTTTGTTTTTACAAGTCATTTGAAATCGATAATAGTTGATTTAATATAAAATTAAAGGATATTTCATACACTTAGTTGAAACTATATACAATAAACGATAGAAATCAATCAACAAAAAGAACGTTACAATTGTTTCTCAAATTGAAGTAGAATTTACATCAAAAGTTCCCCTTGGTATTCAGCGACAACTTCAGGTTTAAACATATATGTATATGTAAGATTACGTGCAAGATTTTGTTTTCAACTCGTGCGTATTAATTCGATATATTTTTTAATCTTTAGAGAGCGTTTAGCCAGAACTCAAAACCTACTCTAGTATGGTCACGATGAGAAAGAGTGACAGCATAAAAAATTAGCATTCTAATTTAGTCGAGGGTTGATATGGTGTTGTGTATCTTAATTATGTGCTTAATTATAAAGTTAACGTTTTTTTTTTCGCTTTACATGACGTTATGCAGATTTTGCGGTTTTTGTAAAGCCTGTGCAACCGTGACTGGTATCGGATTGTCAATGCTTGTATTACACGTACAATTTACTTATATTTACAACTAAGTACATGTATATAATAACATAATAATATTTCCACATCACAGTCATATTTAAATGAATGTCTCACCAGTGTGTCCATTGTTTTTCATTGTCATGTTTGCATCCACCAGTTCAGAAAATCCCTTGAATCCAAACTGCAGCAGGCTGACGTCATATGTTGCTTTTTTCGTTTCAATGGCAACAGGTGATTGCATCACTCCAGCACAATCTGGATACTCTTCATGCCAGTGGGAGGGACCTGATTGGTGAAATATTACCATAGATTTTATAAACATTCAAAAATTATACTCATAAATTTTGTTTGGTGAAAGGAGATTATACAAACTAAGATTATAAAGTTTATTTTGCTCTTTATCAATCTAAATTTTACATGTATCTTATTTTTACCCAAGTTTATCTTTAATCAATGTCGTATAGTTTAGAAAAAAGAAAAATAATATCCTTAAGTAATATATCAACGTAAAAATAAGAATCTTCAAAGTTCCATATTTGTATATTTTGATTCAAGATGAAAAGTAAGATATTTTCAATTTGATAGTATAGTAAATGATAATCATTTATATAAACTCACCATGGATTCCAGTGTATTCCCAAACAGAACCTACAAGGATAGAATATCAATGAAAAACTGAGAACGATCTGTTATTTCATTTTAGAATCATGTTGAAGGTTCACTACAAAACTAAGGAGATGTGTAATGATTGCCAATGAGACAACTATCCACCAAAGTTTAAAGTAGATGTAAGCAATTATATGCAACCGTACGGCCTTCAACAATGAGAGAAACCCATACCGTATAGTCGGCTATAAAAGGCCCCAAAATGAAAAAGGCTTCTTAAAGAAGCAATTTTCTTAACTTCAGAATAATCTTATTATAGTTTTTCTTTTATTTTTCCAAAATGCTTAGTAGAATGCAAGCTTATTGTACTCTCATTAATTTCTTATTAATCTTTCGGATTAAACGGCCTCTTGTTCGGAGATGTGTGCATATTTAAACATCCCGCACAACCGACGGGTTTTACTGATTGTCGGGACAAGTTCAGGGATGACTATACTTCTATACAGATACCATCTTAAAAGCAAAGAATGAACAAAGGATCTGTATATTTCAATCACACTGTAATACTACTTGGGGTTATTTAACGACCTTGACTACCCATGAGGGTCTCGCACGGTCGGTCAGACTTGTATTGCAATTATTTTTAGAGAAAACAGAACATGTCAAAAATTTCGATATATATATATATACATGATATATCTAATAGTTACCATCAACAGAAACGTATCTATTAATATTTCTCTACACCAAAGTTGTTATATTGTCTTCGTCATGTTAATTGACGTATTCCCAACATCACAATAAAACTCTCCTTCAATACTATACTACATGTAATTGATCAAGTTGAAAGAGTTCTGATGAGTAGATTAAATTCCATACCTGTACACGTAGCACCAGCATTTACAACTGTGAAATCCAAGCTTAAAATAAATCCAAGAGAATACAATTTAAGCCTATTCACAGTCGTGTGCATAGTGAAACAGTGTACATGACGACTAGTTAAATTTCTTTAATGAGAGACAATCGTCAAAATGTAAATTCCTCAAATTAATTTATGGGGACTGTCGTATCATGATGGCAACTTATGGTTTAGTATACATGTCCTTAAAAACTTTAAGATATATACTGTGATTAAAACATGTATTATGAAATGAAATGTTTAGATCTAAATTAAATGATTAATTCATGCATTTTCCGATTTTATTTGCAAATGTGCATGCACATATCATGTGCATATCCGGACGCCGTCATAAATTATAGTAAAGATAGTCGGAAAGTCATGTTATTTAAAATCAAGTTATTATAAAGGAAAATTGTTGTACCGTATTTCTTTATGTAAATTACTATTAAATATTAACCAAACGTATGAAGTTAAACATATAATAATAGTTAATATCTATCTGGATTATTAAATATGTAAATTATGTTAAATATATATATATGATCTCTTATGAAGGGAAAGAGAAATACCAATTATATTAAAATTTAAAAAAAAAAACAAAAAAAAAACAAACACGGCGTTATGCAATGTTCAAGTATAGAAAGTGCAAATTAATAAACGGCGAACTTCATTTGACAAGTTTTCTTAATGTACATTGGTTAAAGCAAAATTGAAGCACCACTCATAGGGTGCACGATGAATTCAGTAATAGTGACCAAACAGTATTAAAAAAGTCTGAAAATTAAGGCTCCGAATATATGTCTTTTAGGAAGTGGGGCATGAAGCATATTTAAAAAAAAATGTTCAATTCTAAATTTTTTTCGAAAAATAATTTGTTTCAGGAGGAAAGTGAATAAAAATAAAGTTTGTTTCAAAATAAGTCAAAACAGGTTCATGTGTGTTACTGAAGAAAAAAATGTTGTGTTTTAATAAAGGTTGAATAAAATAGTGTTTATCCCGAGAAAATGTAGACTGTTTGAATGGTTTACTCCTTTTGTTTTTTTTGTCTTTCTAAAATCAAATAAATAGTACTTCGATCAAGATTTTTTAAAAATAATGACAAAAACAAATTAAACTAATAGTATTCGATTCATTAATTCACCAAATTAACATAAAAACTGTCATTTAATTATGTTAGAATGTATATGCAATCAGTTAGCAGGTTATAAATTTTCAATTCAATAGTATGCATTGCTTAAAATTTTCAAAAAGATCAAATGTTAAATGCTTACCGGTACCACAGAAAGCCACTAGTGGCAATGAGATAAACAAACTAGCGAAAACAAACATCCTAATGCAGTAGACTTACAAAGCTAAAGAACCCAAAAGTGAAGTGTAAGATGTATTTATACTGTCCTTAAAAGTTAAGACATACGGTGGTTACGGATGGAATACTTACCAGGTAGCCAGAGGACTTTATAATTTAATCAGATGTTACTCTGCATAAAGTAGTTACGACATAATTTATCAGATCGTTTAAAAGGACATTCTGTTTCAATAATAGTACTTCATCAAATATGCATGAGTCTTCGTATATCAAGTACGTTGTAGACCATAGCAGATATCATATTTAACAAAAGGTGACGATAATAACATGATGCAAACTGTGGGTACATAATAAATCAACGATTGTGTTCAGACAGTTTTAAAACTTGGGCTCAGTAATTTGAAGAAGAGAAGTCGTCTAACATATTTTAAAAGACGTTAACCAATTTAATCATCGTATGAAAATATGGAACACGTCTAGGCCTTGAATAAGTCATTAATTACATCTCTTTATTCTATACAAATGCTTCATCATGCTTTCGTCAATTATACAAAAATGTTTTAACAGATTTTTTAATTCTTTTTAACGAAATGAGTTTGTTATAACGAATTTTTGAGATCGTTGATGACAAATCTAAAATTTGTAAATAAAATCTGTAGTTTAGAAATGAAGTTTATAACTCGTAATTATAATTTTCAGATTTGGGAATATAGAAATTCAAAGTCTGTAATGAAATGTTCCAATCTGCTATTTTGTTTTATTCATTTCGAATCTATTTGGTATTTACGTCACATTTTTCTTAAATTTATCTATCTCAATTTTACATTTTTGATAGCGATTAATATAGTTACGTTATCAAAAAAAACATTTTGAACTTTGTTTTACATAGTAAATAGCAATAATTAAAAGTCATTAATATTTTTTTTTTAATCTGTACGAAACGACTTCAAAATCAGCAATATAAAAATAAGGAGATGCGACATGAGCACCAATGAGACATCTATACGAACTTCAACAATTAGCAAAACTCATTTAAACCGTATAGTAAGTTAGAAAAGGCTTCGGCACGACAAAATGTAAAAGAATTTAAACTGAGAGAAAACTAACCGCTTTATTTATGCAAAAAAACAGTGAACCAAAAACAAATGACGGACAGCAACCAACGACAACCACTGCAATACAGGCTCTTGACTTAGGAAAGGCACATATGAAATATGGAAGAGTTAACCATATTCGTGAGAGCTCAACCCTCTTCTTAACCTGGGACAGTGGCGTAACAGCATAACATATAAATAACATACTGTAAAATTAGTTTGAAAAGCCTCGACTCATCATTTTGTGATATCAATTATAGTTTTCAAGATAATACCACAAAACGCAAAAATTAAGGACAATATCTCCTAAATAGAGCTGATTGACAATGTTTATCATGTTGGTATATTGCATGTCTTGGTTTGCTGATCATTTGTGCTGTGTACAGTTTCTCACTATCTATATACTAGTAATAGCTGCAAAGTCACAATAATGGATATACATTTTAATGTAGGGGCAACGCTTTCTATATAAGGAATAGAACAACCAATTCAAAGTCCCATTGTTTTCTATGTTAAAAATTTGCAAGTTCAAGCATTCGTGGGTTTTTCTCATTGTTGAAGGCCGTACGGTTGCCTATAATTGCTTACATCAACTTCATTTGAACTTTGGTGGATAGTTGTCTCATTTGCAATCATACTACATCTCCTTATTTGTATATGAGTAACTTGTCTTAAGTTCAAACAAAGTGGTAGTCATTTCATGTCAAAACTATGCCTTATCCTCACTTGGGTTGGAAATTCACATTAGTTTTGTAGCACAAAAAAAATAGGTACTTCTTTTCTGAACATCAAGGAAAATATGCCCCCTTATTTTAATTATTATTTTTTCTTCTAATTCATAAGACACTTTTAATGAGGATTCTACAGTGATCCAAATTCGTCAATCTTTCATTACATATATACAAACATTACCCAAATGTTTTTAAAAATGTACTTATTGACAAGGTTACAGATATGAGTAGGAACTATCCTGTTTTGTACTACTCTCTTCGTATGTTCTTCCAAAACGGTTTCTATACTCATAAGGCATCCATAAATAATTTCGGTCATGACAACTTATTAGATTTTCTCTTACTAATCTGTTTTGCTTTTTGAAGATAATTATATAAAAACACAAAAACTGGGTACAAGTGACCTCCCTTTATACGTTTTGCTTTTGCCATCGGTGTTTGACTCATTTTTTCCTATCCTCTTACAGCGAATTACAGATCCTGAGCGGTCGGTAGCCAGGATGTCTGAGGGGGTTATATCGGGTCATGGTGCATCTGTCTTTAATGCGGCGTTCACACAGTTCCGATTATGGCTTCCGTTTGAGATCAGACAGCGCTGGGACACAAAAGGTGAAAAAGACGGATTACTATCCTGAATGATCTGGAATGTCTGTTCATTGTCTGAACGCAGTCGAATACGTTCGTAGCAGATTCTTAAGGATCGGGAATGGGCCAGAGAGGTTGGCCAAGCACCCCGACAGTTAGGTGCGTCCCGTAACATTCGGGAAAACTTAGCAGATTTTGTCTAGTCGGATTAAAACAGTGACTATGTCGTGACAGATTCTGCGATATCGGATCAAAATCGTAACAATGTTCTGTGTTTTCTGGACGGTGTCCTGTAGAACAAGCATGATCTGGAGAAATTTGACATTGCTGTTTTTTTGCCGATTGAGTCCAGATTGCATTCAGATCTTGCCGAATGCGAGCCGTCTTTGCCGAAACCGTTCCTGAACAGTTCTGTTATTAATACGAAATTCGGCAATTACAGAACACAATACGATTAAGTCCATACAAAGCCGTTTGCAATGCGGTACAGCAGACTGTGATAGGATTGTGTTCAGACAATACCTGATCATCCCGAATATGGTAACAGTTTTCTAACGGATATCTACCGTCAGCGTCGGTTCACTGTCTGGTCACTGTCAGATCTTTGTCGGATCACAGATCGGGACGCTGTCGGGACATATTCGATCGTTTTTAACCATGCGAAAGATACAAATCGGATTAGAATCGGATTGAGAAGGGGATAATCGAGACAAATTCGGCTGGAAACGGCTGAATAAGGACGCTTCCTGAACAATATCTGATTGTTGTCGTTATTAAATAATTGTTTTTACAAATCTTAATTAAAGTTTGAATTCCCAGCCACGATTCACAGAATCTTCATCAGACTTTTGACAAATTTTAATCGGGAATGGTCTTGTCAAGGACGGCTGTAAAAACCGTGAATGTATGACCCCAGCTTAAAGGCGAAATTTCAATCTGAATCTCGACTTTAATAAAATTGAGAATGGAAATGGGGAATATTTCAAAGAGACAACAACCCGACCAAAGAGCAGACAACATTAAATAGTCTTTATTTGTAGTTTTGTTTTAAAATGCTACTGTTTTGCCTTTTAAAGCTACATTGTAGTTCCAACTGATATGCGAGGGGAAATATGTCTTGTAATATAGGAGTGAATATATATATATATATATATCTTTCACATATGGAATGCATACTCAGTTTCAATTTGTAAATCGTACACTGTCTGAAACTGTATACGGTTTTTGTAATTTTTTATTTAAAGTTTATATTTGATATAATACAAAAGCAAATATCTTTGTTTAGACATAATATATAAACCATTAAATGTTTCGCCTAGAGGAAAATAATTAGTGTAAATATGTGCATGTACATGATCATTAGCACTACTGATTTTGCAGTCCGTACATAGATGATCTGTTATCGTATATATTAATCAAGTTTGAAATCGATTATAATCTCTTAAAATACAATGTTTACAGATTAAAGATAAACAACATTCCAAACGTAACATTCCTCTTTCTGTTAGCCTACAATGCCACATGTTATTCTACCCTTTTATTTAATTAGGTGTCTCTTTTTTATCCTCTGTTCTTTTAATTTTAAAAATGTTGGATTTTTAAAAGAACTTGAACACCAAATTTAAAGAAACCTATAAAGTGCCTAATTATATTTCAATAAATAGTAAAAAAAAAAATATTAGGAAGGCTGACATATGAATGTTGCATAAATCAAAGGAGTTTTGTTCACGTATTGGAAAATATCCTGTTTAAATATATTCATCTACAAAAACCTGTGTTACCGAAACCCATGTGCACGACAAGTCTTTCTGAATTCACCATCACCATGAACGCTCGACACCAAACTTTTGGATAGTCGATGCTATAAAATTTTCAAAGCATAAAGGCTACCTAAAATACACATTTAAAATCTATATTGTCATAATAAACTTGGGACAAACACTAAATTTTCAATTTATACTTTTCCTCTATGTTAAATATCGTATGGGAAAATTATAAATTTGGTTTATTTTTACCTTTCTCTCTTTTCTTTGATGTTAATATAAGTTTCTTTTTTATGATATAAAAACACTGATTTTCTAAAGATAGCAGATAACCTATGAAATATTTTGCCGAGAGGAAAATAGATCAAGAAACACAAAAACTGCTGAATAAAGAATTCGTAAAAGCTTATATGTTACCAGGTCATATTCAAAATTTGCAAATAGAGTTTTTTTCCCTTATTGTTATAAAAGCTTTGTCATTTTTCATGTCCTTCTTATAAACACCCCATTCTGGTAGCTACTACTGTCTTGCCATAATAATAATTCTTAAAATAAAGTTATTCGCACCAGCTATTGTCTTGTGTGGCCAATGGACAACAGTGGTAAATTATCATGCACTGTTCATAAAAAGGGGGATATGTTCCATTGTACCAGTTACTTAATTAATATATTTTAAAATTATGTTCCGACCGGGTACCGTATGTAGGTTATATACTCTAAACATCTGTCTTATGTTCTGAGATCTGTTTCCCAATCTAATTGAAATATATATCAATCTATGATTTCGTTATCCTTATATATACGAGCACGTGAGTTAAGATGGATCTGAATTTGAATCAAATTGTTCTGTTTCCTGTGGCATACATCTTACTACAATTGATCAATACTATAAGAATAGTTCCAAATGTGTTCTTTAAGTAATAAA